AGCCACACGGCTGGCCCAGGGAACTGCCTTGCTCTGGGTCTAGTGATCGCCAAGTTTGATGATCAGGGATTGATCCCTGAGGAAGTGATTTATGCTAACCAAACTCAGGTTCCTGCCAGAGGGGACACCTCTAGGGAGTGACAGCAGGAAGTAGCGGAGATGGGGCCAGAGGTGAGCACAGGTAAAGGGGTCCTGGCGTGGTGTCGGGCGTGCAGGCACCTGGTGGCCAGGTCTGTCCGGTTTTCAAGAGAAGCCAGAAAGCCAGAATTGTTTTAGCTATTTTTTGAAAAAACTCTAGCGTTACAGAGATACCACAAAGATCACCCAGAGCTCCCATATGTCCTCCATCCAGCTTCTCCTAATGTGCACGTGAACTCCGGACACGTACCCAAACTGAGAAACAAACTCTGGTTCGGTGCTACAAACCTAGCGGATTTTGTTCGGATCCTACCACCGTCTTCTGCCACTGTCTTCTTTCTGTTCAAGGATCCATCCTATGTCACTTTTAGTTTTCCTGTCTCCATAGTCTCCCAGCTGTGAGACTTTCTCAGTCAGAAAGGTGGAGTTTTACATGACTTCTAAGTTTTCCCATTCTACGATAATAATTTGGAAATCATACGTGCTATTTACGGTGTCTTGGTTACCTTAGACCTTTTTCCATTTATATTTGCCCAAACTGGTAAAGTTCCTCAGCACTCTTCCATCCCGCTGTCTCCCTCTCATCTTCCACATTGCCATTTGCCGGTTTTACCTTTTTGTTTTATTCCAGTTTAAATTATTTTTGGAACAGGCAGCATGCCTGTAGGTCAGAGTTTAAATAGTACAAAAGGTACCGTGAAATACTTCCCTCCCTTTAGTGGTCCAGAGGCAGCGAGTGTCCCCAGTTCTGTGTAGCCTTCCCGGCTTACACACACACCAGCACACACAGCTGCAGTAGATCCTTCTTGCACGAGGTGGTAGCTCTTCATTGTACGCGTCGCTGTCTTCCCTTCTTAATGTAACATAGAGATACTTCCATTTCAGTCCAGAAACATCATGATTCTTGCTTGCGGTTGCACAGAATTCCTGTCTCCATATCATAATGTATTTGCAAAGGCCCCTGTTAATAGACATTCAACCTGTTCCCCACCTCTTACTCGTCAAATAATACTATCGTGAATAACCAATACCTTATGTCATTTTGCTGCTGTAGAAACAGCTGTAGGATACAGCCTAGAAGGGGCATTTCTGGGTCAAAGGGAATGTGCACCTGTAATTTAGATTGTAGGCAAATTACCCTCTTCACAGGTTGTGCCCATTTACCTCTCCACCAGGGATGTGTGAGGTTATGTTTCCCCACATGTTTGGCAATGTGGTGGCTTTTGTTTGATTTAAGTTTATTTACTTATTTTTGAGAGAGCGTGTGTGTGAGTGGGAGAAAGGCAGAGAGAGGGAGGGAGAAAATCCCAAGCAGGGTCCATCCACACTGTCGGCACCAAGCCCAACAAGGGGCTCAATCCCACGAACCACGAAATCATGACCTGAGCCAAAATGAAGAGTTGGCCGCTTACTCAACGGAGCCACCCAGGTGCCCCAGCATTTTGTTGTAATCTGATTGTGAAAGTATATTTCAGTATCGTTTTAATTTGAGTTTCTTTTTTATGAGTGATGTTCGGCAGCGTTTCAGATGGGTACCTTTTCTGTATACATTTTCATACACTGGGCCCATTTATCTCTTAGATGGCTGTCCTTTTACTTATTCATAGAAATATTTTAGAGAAATTAGCCCTTTGATGAGAGTTGCAGATATTTTTCCCAGTTTATTGTGTTTTGTTTCTTATGATTTCTTCCTACCATGTAGAAAGTTTATAGTTTCATGTAATCAAATTTACTAATCTTTTATCCATAATCTTTTAACTCACAAAGTTTTTATGTCACTCTGTGAGTTTTTAACTCACAAAGTTTTACTGTCATGCTTAGCTCTTCCCCACCTCAAGAGTGTTTTTGAAAAAAACACAAAAATATATATATTTGAGCTATATATATAACAAATATAATAAGTTATAAATATATAAGCTATAAATATATATAATAAGTTTATATATATATATATTTGACACACATATATATAATTTTTTTTTAAAGTGGGCCCTCTGCCCAGTGTGAGGCTCGAATCCACAACCCAGAGATCAACAGTTACATGCCTCATGGATTGCACCAGCCAGGTGCCCAATAGTTCATGTGTGTGTGTGTGTGTGTGTGTGTGTGTGTGTGTGTGTGTGTGTGTTTAACGTTTATTTAGTTTGAGGGAGACAGAGTATGAGCCAGGGAGGGGCAGAGAAAGAGGGAGAATCCGAAGCAGGCTCAGTGCTATCAGCGCAGAGCTCAACGTGGGCTCGACCTCATGAAAGTGTGAGATCATGACCTGAGTCTAATTGGACGCTTAAACTGACTGAGCTACCTAGGCGCCCCCATATATTTTTGTTTTAACTTAAAAGTTTCATTTACTTCTTTGGCCCTTGTCTTGGTGTAAGGTTTGAGGCGGAGATCCATCCTAGTTTTTCTAGATGGCTGTTCAGTTGTCCCAGTACCATTTCTTGGAGAATCCATTTCTTCCCTTTGCTTTGGAATACTGTCTTTATAGTATGCTGAAGTTCCACATGTGTGTGCATCTATTTCTGGACTCTTTGTATTGTCTCTCACTGATTGTTCATGTGCCAGTGCGACAGCATTTTAATTATTGTGCTTTACTATAATTCTTTTTATTCCTCTCCAGCTAATTCCCTGTCATGTTTGCCGAAGTGCCTCCACCCAGCCTCTTTGCTTCCTGCAAATTCCATCTTTTACTCTCTGTAGACAACTTTCCTTCCTTCTTTATTAACTCAAAGAGTAAGGCCATTCCGTATGAGTTTTAACCACCCCCGCCTCAATTGCTATGGTACTTCTTTGTGTTTTCCTCACTCTGTGCGCTTGAATTATTCCCCTCCCATCAGTTATTCTGTTACAACTCCCCCCCCCGCTCTCCAAAACTTCCGACTGCCTTCCTCTGCAGACCTCTCTATCCACAGCTTATCTGAGTCTCCTCTAGGCTAAAAAACTTCTTCTTGGCTTTGCCACTTTCTCAAGGCAGCAGCCTCTTGTACATTTATTTCCTTGACATACTTACCCAAAAATGCTAGTCTCCATTCACTGTCCTACCTTCCTCACCACCACTTATTCTTCAGAGCCTAGGTTTCCATCCTGACCACTTGACTAAAACTTGCCTCACAAGGTCCCTGATGACCTGGCAGTCACCAAATCCAGGGGCCATTGTCAGTTTATCACCCTTACGCTCTGCAGCATCTGACATGGTGGAGCCCTCCCCCGTGAAACAGCCCTTCCCATGACTCTGAGTTGTCCGGCTGTCCCCGTCTCTCCTGCCTCTGGCCAGTGCTCTGCCGTCGCTCTGGAGCCTGTTCCCCTGACCTTCCTTGACAGGTTGCATTCTCCTTTGGTGAACTGAGGCCCTTCCTGTGGCTGTCGCGTCAGCAAGGACACTCCCCATAGCTTCAGATTCCCAACCCCCCAGCTCTTAGACTAGGGCTGAATTTCAAAACTGCATTTTGTTGACAGACTAAGAGGTTATCGTCAGTCCAAACAAGAAAAAATTAAAGCCTGATGGAAAGGAATGAGGAGAGAGGGAAGATTTACTGTCTGTTGGAAGTTGCTTTGCTGTGAAGCAGTGATTCTCAAGCTTGGCTGCACATTAAAATCCTCAGGAAAATGAGAAATAAAGATCCCAATGCCCAGGCTGCTCCCCAGACCGTCAGATGAGAAGCTCTGGGGACAGGCCCAGGCAGCCACATTTCAAAAACTCCCCAGTGGTTCCAGTGTCCAGCCAAGTCTGCGAGGGTAGAGCAGCGTGGGAGAGGGAAGAGCCTCAGCCCACCCCTGCCTTCTGGCTTTGAGCAGTGGGTGGATGGGCATGCAGGTCACTGAAGTGGGGATTACCAGAGGAGGGGTGGGTTTGGGGGAAGACATTGGGCTGTCTGGATAGGTTGAGTTTGAGCTGCCCACGGCAGGAGAAGTCCCACAGATGCTTGAGTTTCTGTAAAGCAGATCTTTTCTGCTCTTGAGCCTCCTACAGCCTGCACGTGCCTAGATAGAGCCCACCTTCCCAGCCCTCCTCTCTCCTACAGCACCCACTGCCCGGCCACCAGGACTCCTCACCGTCCCCCCCACTGTGCTGCCTCTGAGTCTTTTCTCGTGCTGTACCCCCCACGACAAGTTCCATGCCGTCTCCGGTCAAAACCCACCCCACTCTCAAGGCATCTGCGTACTATTCCTGCCAGGATGACTCTCGCCCACGGCACCTCATGTACTTACCAGCACTGACTGTGGCGTTTGTGGGTGCTATTTTGTTTGCCGAGGGTTGGAACTGCCTCCTTCTGGGTGACGACAAGTGTGGGGGGGGGTCACCGCCCAGGAACCCATCTCGGAAAGTCCTGGACAGAACGCATCTCCCCGCGCCTGATGGCTGTGCTGTTGAGGGCCTAGTTGCAGATCTGCTGCCAGTTGTGAGCCTAGCTTAGCAGGGACTCTTGTCCTTTGTCCCCCCACACCCAAACACAGGAAGGGTAGGATCCACTCCCTTCAAGAATTGTGGCTTCGGAGAGCCTGGGCGCTGGAGAACACAGGATGGCTGTTAGGAGGTGCACTGCTTATCAGGAGCTTGAAAAAGCCCCTGAAGTCGTTCCCATCTGGCTCAGAGATCAGGATGGGGCCGAGGAGGCAGGGAAAAGTAATGCGGCGGCTTGTCGCCCTATCTGGTTCATGGAGACTGCTCTGAACCCCACAAACCTGCCTCAGGAACCAAGTGGACAGAGGGTAGAAGGGGAAGTGACTCATGGTGCAAGGAGTGGGGACCGCAGGATAGCGCTGCAGGGGCAGGTGCACCCTCCACACTGGCGCCCCGGGCAGTAGCCCTCACGCAGGCCCTGCTCCATCGCGCTCTCATCCTCTTCTCGTCTGCCCCTGTGCAGGCTGACGGGAACTGCCCTGTAGAGGTCCATCTGCGTCCAGACCCAGATGATGCCAGAGCTATGACCGGGCCTGCAGGCGTGGCGCCGAGGGGACACCAGCCATGGAGCAGCCACCGGGGGAAGCCCCTGAGGTCCGGCAAGAGGAGGAGAAAAAGGAAGTGGCTGAGGCAGAAGGAGGCCCGGAACTCAACGGAGGACCAGAGCGCTCGCTTCCTTCCAGCAGCTATGCAGGTGAGGACGGGGCGGGCATGGGTCAGAGCAGGAAACGCCCTCTGCAGAGAGCATCATGGGTGCAGAGCCGTTCAGGACTGGAGCCCGACACCCTTCTTTCGCGCCCTGTGCTGTTGCTCATTGGCTGCAGGACCTCGGGCAAGTTGCACTTCCTTCTGTGAAACAGACAGGGCTTGTAGGACATGTGGACAGGGAGTTCTGTGGGAATTAAGTGAGCTAGGCTTTGTCATGCGTGTCGTCAGTATTATTCCCGCGGCTATTGCCCAAGGGATCTGGCCAGTCTGCATTAACAACACGCTGGAAAGATCAACTGTACCTGTGACTGTCATGATCAGTCAGAACACCCAGCTCCATCGATCTGGTGCCAATTACGCACATCACCGAGCTGCACTCTAATTAGGTGTCAGTGCTAAGCGCTTAGTGTGGATGACTGTAATTAAGACTACTTTTGTGCAGCCAGGCAGTTTTAGCTTCTCTTATCTCACTTGTTGTTTATCCACTGTTAGTAGCAGCGTAGACATTCTTGTCTGGGACCCTGTACTGTTCTGTCCCTGTCAGCGTCATGGTGTTATGTCCACCTTCGGCGGCACTCAGAATCCACTCCTTGGCCCCCAGTTTTCCCTGCTGCTGATGCTGCCCCTTCCCTGCTCCCGGCCCCTCCCCACCACTTCCCTCCCCTTCCCTCCACACAGGTGCCAGCATGTTCAGTTGACTCTTGCTCCCTTCCCTCAGAGGGAACTCAGCATCATGAGAGGATGTACTTCCAGGAAGGCACGTCCTGATTTTGCTGCTGGCTTCAGCTGAAGGAAATCCTGACCACAGGCGGTGGAGATGCAGGGCGGAGGAGCAGGCCCACCCCACGAGGATGGGCTCCGGAGCCCATCTCTGCGTGGGGAGGAAGCAGACAGGGCAGGGGCTGTTGAGGTGGAACAGGTTCCTACCTAGCCTGTTGCTAAGAAAGGCCCAAATCCTTGAGCCACACTGCTTTGAACCTGCAAAACCAGTCCCTGGATTTCGCAGCACCTCTTCCTCTTCTGAGCATGTGGCAGGGTAGGGTGGTGGGGGTAGGGTACGGGAAAGGCCATTATCCCCTCCCTCTGAGCCCTCCCACATACCCAGGAGTGACCAGCGTGGGCTTGGTGTGACTTCAGGCCTCAGGAGGAAGTATCCCCCAAGCCCCACGGTAACCTATACCCTGTGTGTTGGCTGTTGACTGGGATGAATTTAGAGACGGAGCCTTTCTCAGAAAAGGAATAGCTTACCAGAGGTGATTGATCACATAGTGCTCATAACATGTACTGTTCTGAAATTGACATGGGCAGGGAAGGTTAGGGAAGCAGAGGGAAGATGCCAGGGGCTAAGAATGAACAATCTATGTCACTGAGGACGAGTGAAAAGGGAAGAGAAGGCCATGGGATATGTGGCCTCACCACCCAGCCTGGCCCATCCTGTCCCCACATCTGGGGCCAGGCACACAGAAGCGACCTGCAGAGTAAGGACCTGTCCTTGTACCCCGCCTCGAGGGGCCATATCCTCACAGGGCACTGCTGTTCATGTGCAGACCAGAGTGCAGTGTCTGCGCTCCAGGCAGGGGCGGTGGGTGGACAGGGCAACGGCCTCTTGGGGAGCTTTCTCATTGGGATTAGAGACATGTCTGGGGAAAATCTGCCCAACTGCCCTTGCAGTGCTGTGTGTGACGTAGTATTTAATATATTCCATTTATCAATAAATTGATGAAGGAGAGGTAGGAAGACTTCCTTACTCAAGGCTTTGGAGCAGTTGTTTAATGTGATCATTATGTGTTAAAGCCGTAGGATATAAAAAGTTTGCACAAACTCTATAAGACAAACAACCGAGATATAGAAACAGGCAGTCCCTGGTAGGACAAATACAAATGGCCAGAAAACAAAATGTTTCTCAGTCTGCTCACCAGTCAAAGAAGATATCTTCAAGATGAGATGTCCTTTAGCCTGTCAGATGAGCTAAGAGCACTGTTTTGGTCAGAGGGGAAAACAGGGCCCTCCATCCCCCGAGGGCGGAAGGGCAGCTTGGCTCCACAGGCCAGCACTTTTTACATTCCTTGGGCCCTGCAGTTCCCCTCCTAGGAATGTATCCCATGTAAATACCCGCTCAGAACACACAGAGATTTCCACACTTATTTACTGCAGCACTGCTCACAGAAGCAAAATATTGGCAAGCTCCTATGCGTAGGGAATTGGTTGTATAAACTGTGGTAGAGCTGTCCTGTGGAATGCAGTGGAGTCACTAACAAGGACAGGGGAGGTCTGAATCCACTGACAGGGAAAACAGCTCCTGACAAATTGGGGATACCATTGCTTAAAAATCTTTTAAGTGTCAGGGCGCCTGGGTGGCTCAGTTGGTTAAGCGTCTGATTTCAGAGTTGATTTCAACTCGGGTCATGATCTCACAGCTTGTGGGTTTGACCCCTGCAAGTTAAAAAAAATCTTTAAGTATCATGGAAGGCACTAGAAGACTATGCACACAAAGGACTGTCATTAACTCAGAGAAGCAGAGTCTTGGGGAGGTCGCATCACAAGCTGGTGCACGCCATTATGTGTTATTCTCAAATCTACAATACCCTCATAATCTAAGAAGCAGATGCATTGCTTTTCTTTAACAGGTTAAAGTAATTTGGGGGTGCCTGGGTGGTTCATTCGATTGAGCGTCTGACTCTTGATTTCGGCTCAGGTCATGGTCCCAGGGTCGTGGGATTGAGTCCCATGTTGGGCTCTGAGCTGACAGTGCAGAGCCTGCTTGAGATTCTCTGTCTCTCTGCCCCTCCCTGTTCATGTACTCTTTCTCTCTCTGTCAAAATAAACATTAAAAAAAAAAAAGTTAAAGTAATTTTCTTTCCCAAAAAAGGCCAGCTGGTGAGAGACCCTGGAAGACAGAGCCTCATCTTGTGTTGGGGATCCCCCAGACCAGGGCAGGAATCTCAAGTCTGTGACTATGAGCTGTGGCCTTTGCTGGTGCCTTCACTTCTCCAAGCTCACTCTTTACCTTTAAATTTGATTTTTATTTGTTTTGAGGGAGAGGTAGAGAGCGAGCGGGGGAGGGGCAGAGAGAAAGAGGGAGACAATCCCAAGCACGCTCTGCGCTGTCAGTGTGGGGCTTGAACTCATGAACTGTGAGATCGTGACCTGAGCTGAAATCACGAGCCAGACACTTAACCGACTGAGCCACCCAGGTGCCCCTCAGTCTCTACCTTTAAAGTCTGCCCACCCAAGGGCTGGCTGGGTAAGGTTCTCTGCCACAAGTCTATGACTTTGGCTTCTGGAGTCCCCTCAGGAATTCAGGAGGATGGGCCACAGCCTCGAGCCCTGAAACAGCAGGAAGATCACAGTTTGCTTCCCCTCTCACCCTTCAGAGGTTCTGTGCTGATTCTGCATCTCTATATGCTTGACTCCTGAGAAGGCAGGCAGGACAGGCCACCAGACAGGAGACCCAGGGAAGTTAATGCCGCAGCTCGAGTTTGAAGGCAGTCCGGAGGCAGAATTTCTTCTTTCTTAGGGAGGCCTCGGTCTTTTTATAAGGCCTTCAACAGCGTAATTGGCTGAGGCATTCTCACGTGATGGAAAGTAATGATTTATTTATTTTTATTTTTTGCTTAATTTATTAAAAAAAATTTTTTTTAACATTTATTCGTTTTTGAGAGACAGAGACAGAGCACAAGCAAGAGAGGAGCAGAGAGAGGGGAGACACAGACTCCGAAGCAGGCTCCAGGCTCAGAGCTGTCAGCACAGAGCCCCATGTGGGGCCCAAACCCATGAACTGTGAGCTCACGACCTGAGCTGAAGTTGGCCGCTCAACCGACTGAGCCACCCAGGCGCCCCTGGAAAGTAATGATTTAAATGTTAATCACATCTAGGGGCGCCTGGGTGGCTCACTCATTTGACTATTGGCTTCGGCCGCAGATCATGATCTCACAGTTGCGTGAGTTCGAGCCCTGCTTTGGGCTCTGCGCTGGCAGCTCAGAGCTGCTCGGGAATCTCTCTCTCATCCTCTCTCTCTGTCCCTCCCCTACTTGTGCTGTCTCTGTCTCTCTCAAAATAAATAAATAAACTTAAATTTAAAAAATGTCAATCACATCTAAAAAACACCTTCACAGCAACATCTAGACTGGTGTTTGATACAGAACTGGGTACCATGGGCATCATGGCCCGGCCAAGAGGACACATAAAATTAATGATCTGGTTAATGCCACTGTCAGCATGTTACTTACCCTTCTAAACCTCAGTTTCCTCACCTCTAAAAGGGTAAGTAGACCTGCTTGAAGGGCTTTTTAAGGTTCACATTGGATTAATGGTACAATGTACCCAGCAGACCGCCTGGTACACAGTAGGCGTGCCCAAAACAAGAGATCTTATTCATATAAACACACAGTCTTAACAGGGAAGTCAGGTTTATGTTCAAGTCCCTGTCCCACCATGTATTAGACAGGTGACCTTGGGCAGATCCCTTAACCTCCTCAAGCCTCAGTTTCCTCATCTTAAATGCGGTCAGTTCTATCTTCCAAGCTTTTAGTGGGGGCCTGATAAATGCTGGTTCTTTCCCCCTCCCAGGGTAGAGGTGGAGGTAGGCCCCCAGGAGATGTTTGGGAGGTCAGGCAGGGTGCGGCCGGGGTGGAAGTTCAGAGGCAGCGCTCAGGGCCCAGATGAGGGCCCTCAGGTGAGCAAGTGTGTTTCCTGAGACCAAAGGAGGACCGGGAGGAGGGCCTCGCTGGGCTGGCTTGGAAGAGTGGCGGCTGTGCGGGCGGGTGGCCCTCTGAATGGCACGCCCCAGGGCTGCACCCAGCATTCCTGAGGGACACCAAGGCCGGGACTCCTGGTACCAGGAGGGCCTCTAGGAACCCCGTGGCTCATGAGTGAGGCAGTGGGACCTTCAGAACTTGGTCCTTAGAACTCAGGGCATTCCTCCATCATTACTTTTGGGTAGGGTGGCGATTTAAGGGTAAACCCATAAGCCAGGTGGCCAACTGGGAAGAAACAGAACTCTTTATCTTTAGAAAACCATGCACGCCATACACATGCACGCCACTACCAAACCTCCCCCTGAAGGATGCGTACACTACTGCCCGCCCTAGCCCCTCATCTCCCCTGCCTCTCTCTGCCTTGTGTGTCAGCTGTTTTTGTTCTTATTCCTCTCAGATGGGCAGTGGTGCCCGTGTCTCGCTAGCCTGCCACCACCAAGCCTCGCTGACTGCTTTCAAGTTCTGCAGGCTGCACCTGCTTGCCACCTGGGGGCAGGACATCCGTCTCCCAGTGCCCTGACACCGTCCTCTGGGACGCTCACCCAGGGTCTCTCCTCAGGACCCAGAGCGCAGGCGGCCTTGGTGGCTAGCGGGGCTTCAGCAGCTTGGCGTCTCCCACGGGTCCCTGTGATCCTGATGCCCCTGGGCCGAGGGGAAGTGAGACGCTTGGCTTTGGCCTGGGCCTCTCTGGGTCTCATAAGCAGAGACACTCCTCTCCCCCACAGCCTTGGATTTCTGTGAAGCTGCGGATGAAGAGGTACAACCAGCCAGAAAGAGGAAGGCCCGAGCCTGTGTGGGGTACACAGCTTGGAGAGGGCAGAATTGCAGCTTGCTGACAGGCATCTTCCTAACTTAGATAGTCCTGTGCCTCTTCCAAGCTCTACGCCTTTTCTCCATGGTAGTTGCGTTACTTTTCACCTTAATTCTCGGATAGATACACCTGTCACCTCTGTTTTGCCAAGGAGGAAACTGAGGCCCAGAGGGCAGAGCTGGGTTTTGAGCCCAAGACACCAGTTTGATCTCAGACCACACAGCTCCTGAGTCACGTTCTTACCTCTCAAGCATGCTGTTACCGAGCGTCTGGAAGCTGATTCGGAGGTCTTCTATAGCTCTCACTTTTTTTTCATTATTATTTTTTAAAGTTTATTTATTTGAGAGAGGGAGAGAGAGAAAGGGAGAGAGGGAGAGAGAATGAGCAGGGGAGGGGCAGCGAGAGGGAGGGACAGAGGATCTAAAGCAGGCTCTGTGCTGACAGCAGAGAGCTCAGTGCAGGGCTTGAACTCACAAACCATGAGATCGTGACCTGAGCCGAAGTCGGACCCTTAACCAACTGAGCCACCCAGGTGCCCCCCAAAGCTCTCACCTTTGAGCCCAGAGGGGAGTAACCTCCCTGACAGCCTCATATCTGATTGGTGGCTCCTTCCCAGTCCTGTGCCATCTGCCTGCCCCTCGGCCAGTGTTGCCATTCGCCGTGTCGCGTTCCAGTTTTCTTACCTCATTCTCAGCTCAGCTAGTCCAGGGCAGGGTCTGGATCCCGCCCTGCACACAGCCGGTGCTCATCACCTCTGTTGAATGAGAAGAGAGGGTGGCATTGAAGTACAAATGACCAGACACCTGCCCAGCCTGTAGGGCCACGAGGGAAAACAAGGAAGGCACCACCAAGACGTTGGTTACTGTGGACAAGACTCGGTGGCGGAGGAGGGCTTTGAGACCCAAAGGCAACGTGATTAGAGGTGTCCCGAGTCTAACAGAGGAGGAAGATGTGTAAGCCACAAAAACAACACTGCTTACAGGAAGTAACACAAAGGGAGCCTACATACAGACCACACAGATCAGAGGAGGAAGTGCTGGAAACCCTCCTGCCCAGCATCTGCGCAGGTCTCGTTTGCTCCCAGCAGCTCGCGCTGAGAGTTCTGTTGCCCTGTTATGATGTCTCCAGGAGTGGCGGGTGCCACCCAGCTCCGCCAGCCCCCCAGCTGGCCCTGAGTTCAGGGTGCCCAGAGGATTCCATAGTCACTGAGTTCCCCCTCCACCCCCTCCAGCAGCCCCCTAGCGGCAGAGTTCCCACACTGGGGCTCTTACCTTGTGGAGGAGGGCACCCAACACTGAGTAAACACATGTGACTGTCATGTGGTGACAAAGGCTAGAAAGAAAACCAACGTGGCTTTGCCCTCTGCGGTTCGAGGCTCCCCTGCAGCCCTGTGCCCGGGAGAGGAAGGGAGCCCCCTCGCCCCCGTCTGTGGGCTGAGGTGGGCGTTTCCGCCCCTTGGAATGACAGAAGGTTGGGAGCTAAGTCTCTGGGGGGAGACAGGCCATTTTAGGAACCAGGGACTGTGTCACGCCTGCCCTTGCGTCACCAGCCCAGGACGGCAGCAGGCCGCTGGGTCCTCTTTGCTGGGGTCTGGTCTGGTGCTTGTGCGCCCCTCCCTGTGGCTGAGATGGGGTCTAGCTGAAGGCTCTCCTGCTGGCACTCCTAGGACCCAAGGGGGAGCTGAGGAAGGTGTGGGAAGAGTGGCGTGCACTTCAGTCTGGGGAGGGGGGTTACTCCATGGCAGGGAAATCAAGGTATGCTGTGGAGTGATCTCAATCTGTATTATGGACAGGCAGGAACGCCAGCCTGGGAAATGCTAAGTCTGGGCTCATCTCCCTGGCTTGAGACTCCCTACGGTGCCATCCTGCTCTGAGCCACTGCTTCTCTAGTCTGGGGATTGGGCCCGTGCCCCTGACGAGGTTGCTTGGTCATCAGGAGAGAGAGCAGGGAATAGAGCAGTTTGGCAGGCAGCATGGCAGAGGCAGGACAGGCGGCACATGGGGCCATGCAGCTGGCCCTGGGCTGGGTGACGGGGGCTTGGGGCAGGTCTCTTTTCCCAGGGAAGGGTTCACTTCTCAGTGTCCAAGGGAGAGATTCAGAAGAGATTCCCGGAAGTCCTTACTAAGTGCTCTGGCAGCACATATGCCCTGAAGTCATTGCCACGGCCGAGTGCTTTCCACACTTACACTCGCAACGCCAGTTTCAAACATCTTGTGCATTTAATAGGAAAAAACTTGGGGAAGTTCAGTATGCTGCCCAGTCAACATGACTGATACCTGCGTTCTTTGTACTTGAGCAAGAAGTTTTGTGAGAACAAATTTGAGCTTCTTGAGTGAACCTTTTCAGCATCTCTGGAGTCCATGCAGGAATCACATTTCCCAGGAGAGGGGGGTGGAGGGCAGCTCTGCAGGGGTCTGCACGAATTCAGTGTCTGCAAAACGCATTTCGCACCGCCCACATGGCCCACATAGCAGAGCCTCATAAGCTAGGAGAGCTGCTTCCAACGGTCTAGAAAGATTCTGTCTGCTTCCTCCCTCTTGCTCCTTTCTATCCAAAACCTGGTCGTCTCCCTTGCGCACCCCCCCCCACACACACACACACCCTTTCCTCCCCAGCGGTGACCTCAGCCCAGGAATGCTCTGATTGACCCCGGAGAGTAATAGCTACCATTTCCCAAACACCTGCTGTATGTCCGATCTGGGGAAATGCTTTGGAAACTTTGTGCCATCCTCTCAGAGAAGCCTGTGTTCTAGATGGAGAAGGCGATTCTCAGGTTGACTCCTTGAGGCACACAGCTCTCCAGTGTCTGCACTGAGGGTGGTGTAAATCAGAAGCATGGGCTCTTCCCACCACCTGCTGTGGCCCCAGGGGCTCTGGCCACCTGCCCTGGCCCCAATCCTGGCAGAATGTGAGGTCACCCTGCATTTTGTATCCGCAGACCTCTCCCAGAGCTCCTCACCACCCTCACTGCTGGACCAGTTGCAGATGGGCTGTGACGGGGCGTCGTGTGGCAGCCTCAACATGGAGTGCCGTGTGTGCGGGGACAAGGCATCAGGCTTCCACTATGGTGTTCACGCATGTGAAGGCTGCAAGGTAGGGGCCGCGGCGAGTGGTGGCCGGCAGTCGGGGCTGTGATTATGTGGTGAGTTGACCCACCAGAGAGGCCGGGCCCTGACAGTACCTGCAGCAGAATTCCCACCTGGGAGGCAGCCAGGCCGGTGGGCCCGTTCCAGGCCTCCGCTCTGGGTCCTGCTGGGCACCGCGCCAGCCACCCACAGGGGCTGTCTTGCTGCTGGCGCCCCCTGGGGACGTAGCTCTAGAAGAACCGGCAGGACAGAATGTGGGTCTTGGGCTGAACCATCTCCTGACGTCAGAGCTTCCTGCACCTCAAGGCCTGAAAGGGGTTCTTTGATGGAAAAAAGGAAATTCACATTTATTTTTCCAGTGGTGCTTTTGGGTTGGTCCCTCTGACTGCACATCCATCAAAATGTCACATACATGTTTTTGAATTTATTTATTTATTTTGAGGGATAAAAGAGAGCAAGCAAGCATTAGCAGGGGAGAGGCAGGGAGAGAGGGAGAGAGAATCCCAAGCAGGCTCGGCACTGTCAGCCCAGAGTCTGACTCAGGGCTCGAGCTCCTGAACCATGAGATCATGACCCGAGCTGAAAACAAGAGTCAGACAGGTGCTCCACCAACTGAGCCACCCAGGTGCCCCTCATATATCATTTTATTAAACCACTGCTTAGAAAATACACAGAACCGGATACCTTTATGAATGAATCAAGTTAGCCAGGATACAATTTTATGTTACCAAACTAGCAAAGAAGCATTTAAATAAATAAATCAGGGGCACCTCGAAGTCTGCTTGGGATTCTCTCTCTCTCTGCTTTTCTCCCTGCCCTTCCCCTGCTCTCATTCTCTCTCTGTGCCTCTCTCACTCTCAAAAATAGATAATTAAAGATTTTTTTTTTAAATAATTAAAACATATATTTCAAAAGTTTTAGAGTTTACTTTCCTTCTCCCTTTCCCCTCCGAAAAAAAACTTTCCCTGCATTACTTCTAAATCTCAGGAACTTTTACATTCTCCCATGTAACTGGGGCCCCTGACATAACCCATTGGGCACAGCGGGATTCCCAGCTTTCTCCCTTCCCTTTGGCTTTTCCTCACTTCTTCACTGCTCTTCAGGGCTTCTTCCGTCGGACGATCCGCATGAAGCTAGAATACGAGAAGTGTGAGCGGATCTGCAAGATCCAGAAGAAGAACCGCAACAAGTGCCAGTACTGTCGCTTCCAGAAATGCGTGGCCCTGGGCATGTCGCATAATGGTGAGAGCCGACCCGGGCAAGGCACAGGGGATGCTGGCTCCCTCTGCAGAGCCTGGAGCCAGGCTCCGGGACCGCAGAAACGGAGTGCCCTTGGCAGCGCCTGGCACGCGGCCTATGTGTCAGCCGCCGAGCCTGGAGCCGCACCAGCCAGCCTGAGACCTGCCTTCCCCAGGCTGCTTGGCTCCCGCATGGGCCCCAGAAACCACTCCCAGAACCTCAGCCTCCCAGTCTCAGATGGCCTGACAGAGCATGGCAAGCCACTGCCAAGGCCTGGGATCGCCTCAGCCCTTCTTGGTTATTGAAGGCGGGGAGGAACCAGCAAGTGACCACACGTGTCAGCTGCCAGGAGCCAGGTGGGAGTTTCCTGGAAGCCAAGCCACTCCCAGGGGGCAGGGCCTGCCCTGCACGCCAGGCCTCCCGCAGAGTCTTGTCTTCAGACCCCATGCAAGTAGGATTTTGCAGCCCACCTGTCCCCTCTTTGCCTGTCTGGGTCACCCCCCACCAGGGGCCAGGGGAGCCTTCTTGTTGAAGTGTCTCCACCCACAGCTATCCTCTCTTGCATTTTAGATGGTGGCAGGACCTAAGCCCTCCATAGGAAACACATCCTAGGTGGGGGGCGTGGCAGGTCCCCACCTGCCTCCGTCCCTCCCCGCAGCCTGTAAATGCCTGGGCTCCAGTGCTCGGGTGGGCTGACAGGATTTCTTAGGAGATCTCAGGGCCAACTCCATTCTTCTCACCTTTTCTTTTAGAGAAGCCAGATTTGTATCCCGTTCCGTTACTAATGACTAGTTTTGGAGGCTCACTGTGTGAACATTCTTACTTAACTGTTTTGAAGGTGCCTTCTTAGCGTAGCAGGCAGCGCGTCAGTCTCCTAAGTGTTTTGACGATCCAGTGAGATTTAAGTATTAGCCCATTTTTCTTAGGAATAAAGGTGACATGGCCTGCCCTAAGTCTTGTGGCCTGCAAACTGCCAAGCTGGAACTCAAGTGCAGCCCTTTGATACCAGAGACCCCTTTGATACCAGAGACCATCTTCCTACGTGTCACACTGCCCCGCCTTCTGGCCACAGGGATTCAGTCCCCTCTGTGAGTTAGGGCCCTCGCGTGCCAGGCACTGTGAACAAGACAGCCCCCCTGTCCCCCTGGAGCTGACCTTCTGGAGGGTTCCCCAGCATTTCCAGTGTGCTGGCTCCAGAGCTTCTGAGGGTCCTGGGCTCAAAAAGTATGTCTCCGTTTTTGGCCCACGTACCTATAGTGGAACAAGGAGTTCAGAGGTGCCAGCCCCCGCCTGGGCTCCTTGATTACCTCTCCCTCACCCCCACCCCACAATACAGCCATTCGCTTTGGCCGGATGCCGGAGGCTGAGAAGAGGAAGCTGGTGGCAGGGCTGACGGCAAGCGAGGGGGATCAGCACAATCCGCAGGTGGCTGACCTGAAGGCCTTCTCCAAGCACATCTACAGCGCCTACCTGAAAAACTTCAACATGACCAAAAAGAAGGCCCGCGGCATCCTCACCGGCAAGGCCAGCCACACGGCGGTGAGTGTCACTGCCCGGCCTGGCGGTCCCAGGCTCTGAGCCCTGCTGCCGCCTGCCTGACTTCTGGGAGAGCCAGGCCCCCTCCCTCCCCTAACTTCGTGGTGCAGGCCAGGGGCATGGGGAGCATACGGGCGGGGGACCCCCCCAAGGCCTGGCCTCTAACGGGGCCTGGTTTTCAGCCCTTTGTGATCCACGACATCGAGACATTGTGGCAAGCAGAGAAGGGGCTGGTGTGGAAGCAGCTGGTGAACGGCCTGCCGCCCTACAAGGAGATCAGCGTGCATGTCTTCTACCGCTGCCAGTGCACCACGGTAGAGACTGTGCGTGAGCTCACCGAGTTCGCCAAGAGCATCCCCAGCTTCAGCAGCCTCTTCCTCAACGACCAGGTGACGCTTCTCAAGTATGGTGTGCACGAGGCCATCTTCGCCATGCTGGCCTCCATTGTCAACAAGGACGGGTTGCTGGTGGCCAACGGCACTGGTTTTGTCACCCGTGAGTTCCTGCGAAGCCTTCGAAAGCCCTTTAGTGACATCATCGAGCCCAAGTTTGAGTTTGCTGTCAAGTTCAATGCCCTGGAACTTGATGACAGTGACCTGGCTCTCTTCATCGCGGCCATCATTCTCTGTGGAGGTAAGAGAGGGTGGGGCAAGTAGGCCTGCCCCACACACCCAGCCCTCCTGGGAGTTGGGCCCTCACTGCAGGGCGCCACGCTGAAGCCGGAACAGCATGGGCAAGTGTCTGCGTGATGGTGGCAGTGGAGCACGGGAGGCACCAGCTGTACGCAGAGGGCCGGCTCCGTCCTAGAGATGGAGAGGAGACAGAAAGAAGACTGGAAAGAAATGTGCCAACCTGTTAATGGGATTATTTCTCTCTTTTTGAAGTTTATGTATTTATTTTGAGAGAGCGAGAGAATGAGCAGGTGAGGGGTGGAGAGAGAGGAAGAGAGAGAACCCCAAGCAGGCCCCATGCTGTCAATGTGGAGCCTGATGCACGGCTCGAACTCACGAGCCATGAGATGGTGACCTGAGCCGAAATCAAGAGTTGGAGGCTTAACCGAGTGGGCCACCCAGGTGCCCCTTAATGAGGATTATTTCTGACGGTAGAGAAATTTTCCATCTTTTGCCTGCTTTTTTCAGATTGAGTACAATAGATCAAGTACCCGTGCTAACAGTGCCGCAGAGCTTACCTCACACCAGGCACTGTTCTGGTTCTAGCATACAACTCATTTGATCCCCACAACAATCCTGTGCAGAAGGATTACCCCATTTTACAGATGAGGACACTAACATCAGAGAGTCTGAGTGACCTGCCCATAGCCTCATCACTCGTCTGTGATAGGGATGGGAGTTGAATCCAGGCAGTGAGTCTCTTAACCCTGATAGGATTCTACTGCCTTTTCCAGAAGAAAAAACAAAAAAGCCAAGGGGATTGGCCAGGGCCAGGGCCAGGGGTGGAGGCACTAGAATACTCAGTGGGGCAGTCACTGACAGGCCAGGGCTTGGGTCTGTCACAGCAGTAGGTCTGCTGTCCCCCGCCCCCCAGGGGCCAAGTCACCTACACAGGGTAGGGTAGGGGTAGGGGAGCTCCTCTGCCCCCCTCCCACACCTCTGCCCTGTGTCCCCACAGACCGGCCAGGCCTCATAAATGTGCCCCAGGTGGAGGCCATCCAGGACACCATCCTGCGTGCCCTCGAGTTCCACCTGCAGGCCAACCACCCCTACGCCCAGTACCTCTTCCCCAAGCTGCTGCAGAAGATGGCCGACCTGCGGCAGCTGGTCACCGAGCACGCCCAGATGATGCAGCGCATCAAGAAGACGGAGACGGAGACCTCGCTGCACCCGCTGCTCCAGGAGATCTACAAGGACATGTACTGAGGGTGTGCGCCTGGGGCCTCCAGGGGCAGGCGGACAGTGGGGACAGGCACCACCCACGGGACTTTTCCGTGGAGCAGCTCCCCCCCCACCCCAGCACCGGCCCCACAGGGCACTGCGCCCCACCGGAGCCGGGTAGGAGTCCCATCCTGTGCTCGGACACGCGGCCTCTCGCCCCTGCTCTGCTCTCTGCGCTCCCTTCTGCCTCCTGCTCTTCTCAGGCCCCCTTTCTTCTCGAATTTCCTCGGGCTCCCTCTCTTCCTCTCTCTGCAGGTTTCCCTCTTCCTTCCTCCCTCCGCCTTCTCGCTCCCCACCCCTGTGTCCTCTCTCCTCCTGTGAGACAGTTAGTGTTACTTCACCAGCAGCATGGAACGGGTCCTCTGCTTTTGTCCGCCCTGTCCCCTGTCCCCCAGGGAGCGGGAGGGGTGGGCCCGCCCTCAATCACCGCAAGGGTAGGGGCCTCACTTCTCCTGTCTTCACGGCAAAGGATCTGGGCCATCCAAAGAAACACTAAGCTCTCCAGGCCCGGCTTCCTGGGGAAGCCACTCAGGGCCTGGGCTGACTACGAGTCACCGAGTCGTCACCTCCCCCAGACTGTCACCAGCCTCCCCTCCCCAGCCAACCCCTCTCCAGCAGCACGCCCCAGCCCCACCGATACCAACGCCCCCTGTTCTTTTCCCCAGTCTTCCAGGCCAGTGTCACTGATGGTCCCCTGCGCTGGCCGCTGGGGGACACCCCCAGCCTGGAAGGAGGTGGGCTTCCCTCCAGGTGGGGCCCCCACTGAAGAGGAACAAGCCTCAAGGGCGGCAGAGGTTGGCAGGGGAGGCAGCCAGCGGTGTACTTAATTCTGACCCCAGGCCGTGGGGTCACTGGCACACACACACACCCCACCACCACTCTGCACAGCAGCCACCGACCACAACTCCTGTTCTCCACTCAGTGCCAGGGCCTGGCCTCACATGCAGCCGGGGACCCAGCTGAAGCCCACGCCCCCTCTCCCCGGAGCCGCCACTCCACACACACAAGCACTGACTCACTTTACCTGGTTCCACGCCCGTCACCCTCCCTTCCCTTCCCAGGGACAGATGGGCCTGAGGGGCCTACAGGTGGATGGGCAGAGCTGGGCCAGATCCCTCGGTGGCCGGGGGTCTGCTGAGCCAGCCCAGCACCTGCTCATGTGTGACATCCGCTCATCCCGACGTTCCCACCTCCCTCCCCTTCAAGCGTTTCACCCGGCTGGTCACTGAGCTCACCGTGCGCAGCCTCTGGTGACCAGAGACCTCGCCGGGCCCCGCTCCTCCCAGGGGAAGTACTAAGCCTGAGAGGAGGGGCTGAAGCCCAGCTTGGACGCTGTATCTGAGCAGGAAGTCCGAGAGCCCACCCAGCCTGCTGCTCCAGGAAAGAGACTGGCCTGGAAGGGCGAGGGACTGGTGAGGGCCTCGGAGCAAGCCTGGGGAAGACCTGAGGCTAGAGCCCAGGCTTGCGGGGTCCTGCCCATCCGCCCCTGCCTCCCCTGCCCTGGGCTCCTGCTCTACCAACGAGACTCTTTCCTCTCCCACCCCCACCCTAGGCTGACCAAGGATTGGGGTTGGGGTGCTCCCTTTGAGCCAGCTCTGTGAAGGGAGAGATGCTGTGCCTGACGCCCGCCCCCAGCTCGCAGTCCCCCCCCCAGGTCTGGTGCTGAGGATATAGCTCTTCTCAGTGTCTGAACAGTCTCCAAAATCGAAATGTATATTTTTGCCAGGAGCCCCAGCTTCCTGTGTTTTTAATATAAATAGTGTACACAGACTGACAGAACTTTAAATAAATGGGAATTAAATATTTAAGAGTTGATCTGGGCTGACTCAGTTACTTACATGTTTTTCCCAGGGGGGTGTTGCTGACGGGACTCTCCCCCCTCCTCCACGCCCGTGGCTGGGCAAGTGAGACTTTGGGGTATAGGCCAGGAGAGTTGATTCTGGCTTGTGGGGCTGCCCATCTTTCTCCATCCCCATCCTGCAGAGAGCATCCGGGTTATGAGGGGAGGGGCGGGGAGAGAGGATGCACACACCTTTGCTGTCACGGTACAAACCAGGTTGGTGTGAGGAGGGCCTGGGAGGGTCTCAGAAGGGCCTTGAGTGGTGGGTGGAACTGCAAGGCCAAAAACCTGTCGTTCGCTGTCCATTTTTGACCACCGCGCAAGAGACCAGGGCTTTCCTCAGCCGACACCCCAGTTTTCCCCTTCACAGAGGCCCTAGGAGCACCCGGCCCGCGGCAGCCACTGGGCTGGACCGCAGTGAGGCAAGCGCGGGGTACGCTTTGGTGCTTGTCTAGCCAGGAAGCAGACACCCCTAAGAATTTCAAAACAGGGAACTGACTATAGGAAATTGTTACAAAAGCATTGGAAGTCCTCAAGGATCAAAAGGGGAAACGGAGGCCATCCAGACATCAGTGACGGGGCAGACACTCTCACCCCTGGAGCCGTGTGGGGAATGGTATCACCTAGTGGCCAACACCTCTTGAATCCAGAGACACTGCAGAAACCAGGAGCCCAGAGCCAGCGACTGACTAGCACAGAGTACCGACACCCGCTCGAAGTGAGCGGCCCCAGGAGGCTCAAGCTTAAGGTGATGGTCCGGTCTGACACTTGCCTCCCAGTTGTCTCTTGCTGACCCCAGCGACCAGAACTCTGTCAGGTCCCGTGAGGTTCATCTCAGCCAGGAGCGTGACCCCCCCCAGGCATCAGGAGGAAGTGAGGAGCAGGAAGAGGAATGCTTGGGACAGGGGCATCTCTGACATTGATAGCCTTGTGACGATGGAGTCTGATCTGCTTCGTTTCTTTTTCTCACCTCCCTCTCCTTTCCCACACATCGGGCAGTAGAAAAAGAGTTAGCTGTTAAAGGCCGGTCCTCTTCCCAGTGCTAAAGAGGTAGGACAGGGGCGCCTGGGGGGCTCAGTTGGTTGAGCGTCCGACTTCAGCTCAGGTCATGATCTCACGGTTCGTGGGTTCAGGCCCCGCACCGGGATCTGTGCTGCCAGCTCAGAGCCTGCTTCAGATTCTGTATCTCCCTCTCTCTCTGACCCTCCCCTGCTCACGCTGTCTCTCTCTCTCTCAGAAAGAAATAAAAAACATTAAATAAAAATTTTTAAAAAAATAAAGAGGTAAGGACAGAGGAGACCAAATAACTCAATAACACTTGGTTCAGGGAAGAGAAGGTAAGTCTCTGTACCGGTTTTCTTTATTTTTGTAAGATTTTATTTATTTCTAATGTACTCTCCACACCCAATGCGGGTCTCAAACTCACACCCCCCCGAGATCAAGAGTCGCATATTCTACCAACGGAGCCAAGCAGGTGCCCCACGAGCTTTCTGTTGTTACCTGCCTTCTGGTGCTGCAAATAGATAGCATCACTCTTTGCTCTGGCACCTTATTATTACTACCACTTTATTAAGCACCTATGTTGAGCTAGGCATTCTATAGACATCTCCACCTAATTGTTACCACTACCCTAAGGTAAATATTATCACCTGCTATTTTATAGGTGAGGCACAATGAGACATTAGCAAGTGTGGAGGAGGGGGGTCACTGGGAAACAGGCACGCTGCCCTTAGGCCTTCTGCTTTGGACCCGTGAGCAAAATAGGGAGCAGTAGTAGTCGCCTGGTCTCCTTTTATTGATGCTCAGGGCAAGTGAATCAACTATTTAGACTAAAGGAGAAGAAAGCAAACTTAAGAGAATTAGAAAATGACTATACTTGTGATAATGCTTTAAAACTTCTGAAATAAGTTCACTTTCTTAAAAAGAAAGAAAGGGGTGCTTGGGTGGCTCAGCCAACGAAGCTCTTGATTTTGGCTGTGTACATGATCTCGTGGTTCCTGGGATCGAGGCCCATGTTAGGGGCTCTTGCCCTGACAGTGTGGAGCCTGCTTGGGATTCTCTCTCTCTTCCTGTCTCTCTGCCCCTCTCCTCTGTCTCCTTCTCTGTCTCAAAAATAAGTAAACATTAAAAAAAAAAAAAAAGTTTAAAAAGAAAATACCTGGAACTTCCAGAAAAAAAAAAAAGAATGAGTTAAAAAAACAACAGGTTAGACACCATCAAAGAGATCATTTTTGCACCTTAAGAAGGACCAATGGAAATACCCCAGAATTTAGTATGGAAAACCAAGATTGAAAATGTCAATAGAGGGGGCACCTGGGTGGCTCAGTGGGTTGAGCTTCTGACTTGGGCTCAGGTCATGATCTCACAGTTCATGCATTCGGGCCCCGCATCGGGCTCTGTGTTGACAGCTCAGAGCCTGGAGCCTGTTTCAGATTCTGTGTCTCCCACTCTCTCTGACCCTCCTCTGCTCACGCGGTCTCTCTCTCTCTCTCAGAAATAAAACATTAAAAAAATTAAAAAGAAAATGTCAATAGAAAAAATAGCAGTACAAATTCTTACATACTGGGGACTGAGCAGAAATTGGTATAGTCCAGTTGAAAAACAACTTGGCAAAACCTAGAAGAGCTGGAGGCCCCCAGGTGGCTTAGTCACTTGAACAGCTGACTTCAGCCCCGGTCATGGTCTCCTGGTTCATGGGTTCGAGCCCGGCGTCGGGCTCTGTGCTGACAGCTCGGAGCCTGGATCCTGCTTTGGATCCTCTGTTCTCCTTCTCCCCCCACCCCCTCAACAACAACGACAACTAGAAAAGCTAAAATGTGCTGAAGACTGTGAGGCATCCAAGAGGCTCCATCCCCCAGAACCCAGGCACTGGTTTCCATGCCCGCTGGGCTCACAGCTGACTTCCTCTTAGGAAAGTGCTCTGGCTGAAAGGAGCTGCCTTACCCCGGATAAGCACATCCCCAGGGGCAGCCCGTAGCCAACACCAGGCTAAGAGGCAAGCTACCCTGAACTAGTTTTTTTTTTTTTTAATGTTTATTTTTGAGAGAAAGAGAGAAAGACAGAGCACGAGCAGGGGAGGGGCAGAGAGAGAGGGAGACACTGAATCCGAAGCAGGCTCCAGGCTCCGAGCTGTCAGCACAGAGCCCGACACATGGCTCGAACTCAGGAATGGCAAGATCATGACCTGAGCTGAAGTTGGACGCTTAACCGACTGAGTCCCCCAGGCGCCCCTACCCTGAACTAGTTGGGGACAGCTTGAAGAATCACCCCCACTCCAGATTTGAGGCTTCTGTTGTAACTACAGTGCAGTTTAACTTCTCTCCTTATCAAATCCTGCTTCCTTCCCATTCCCTACAGCTGTTGTTCCAAAGAGCACTCCCTAGTGAGTGTCCTGCAAGTAAGCGTCCTCATGTATTTACTGGAGAAGCCAACCCGACACACACCCTGGAGTGGGACCCGCTACGTTATACAGAGACTCCTACGCCTTTTCACCGCAGCAATAACAAAAACTTGGAAACAAAATAGGGTTCATCAACAGGAAAACGGATATACTTGATATATTTATACAATGTTTAAAAAAAAAAAAAGAAAGAACTCGGTACGCCTGAGTGTCTCACTCGGTTAAGGGTCCGACTTCTTCGGCTCAGGTCATGATCTCATAGTTCGTGGGTTCGAGCCCAGCGTCAGGCTCTGTGCTGACAGCTCAAGGCCTGGGGCCTGCTTCTGATTCTGTCTCTCTGTCTCTCTGCCCCTCCCCCACTCACTCTCAGACTCTCTCACTCTCAAAAATGAAAGAACTTAAAAAAAATGTTTTTAAAGAACTAGAAGAAACACATGGGGAAAGATTTTTATATAATCTTAAAATGGATAGATAAACCAAAGTATTGTATACATAAAGCTTTCTAATTTTCGGGGCGCCTGGGTGGCTTAGTCTATTAAGTGTCCGACTTTCGCTTAGGTCATGATCTCGCGGTTCGTAGGTTCGAGCCCCGCGTCGGGCTCTGTGCTGACTGCTAGCTCAGAGCCTGGAGCCTGTTTCAGAGTCTGTGACTCCCTCTCTCTCTGACCCTCCCCTGCTCACGCTGTCTCTCTCTCTCTCTCTCTCTCCTAGAAATAAAACATTTTTTAAAAAAAATTAGAAACTTTCTAATTTTCATGCAGTATATACAAAACTTAAAATCTATCAAATAAGAAATGAAAAATCTTACTATATATGCATCTTAAAATTTTCTTCGTGAGGCAAAAACCATAAAACAGTTTAAGTCAACCATGTGAAAAAAGGTGTGAAATAATCAAAGAATTAATTTCCTTAATATATAAAGAACACCTATAAATCAATGAGTAAAAGGTCAACACCCTGTTAGAAAAATAGGCAAAGGAAATGAATAGAGAAAGAAAGGGCTCTGAAACGTATGAAGAGTTACTAGGAGGCGCCTGGCTGGCTCAGTTGGTGGAGTGTATGCCTCTTGATCTCTGGATCGTGAGTTCAAGCCCCATGCTGGGTGTAGAGATTACTTTAAAAACAAACATATGAAAAGATGCTTAATTTGATTCATAGAGAAATCCAAATTCAAACTAAGTGAGATATTGCTTTTTTAAATTACCAAACTAACAAATACTAACAGGTTTGATAGCATTGTGTTGGCAAGGGTATAGAAAAACAGGTACTCTATATTATTGGTAGGAGTATTAATGGACAGACACAGCCTCCAGAGAGGGAAGATTGGCAGCACCTATAAAACATTTTTAAAGTTTTACTTATTTATTTAAAGAAAGAGAGAGAATGGGAGAGGAGCAGAGAGAGAGAGGAGAGAAACCCAAGCAGGCTCCTCGTTGTTAGCTCAGAGCCCTGTGTGGGGCTCAATCCCATGAACCCTGAGATCATGACCTGAGCGGACACCAAGAGTTGATGCTTAACCAATTAAGCTGCCCAAGCAACCCCCCAAATTTTTAAAAATTTTGATCCATTTGCAAC